TTTCTAACCCTAGCTACTTCCCCGTGGCCCTGTCCGTTTCCCGCGTCTCGGTAATTTCTAGCCCTAGCTACTTCCCCGTGGCCCTGTCCGTTTCCAGCCAAACCCACTGCCATCAAGTCCACTCTGACTCACGGCAACCCCGCCGTGCAGAGTGGAACTGCTCCCTAGAGTTTGCAAAGCTGCCCATCTTTACAGGAACAGAAAGCCTCCACTTTCTCCTGACCAGCAGCTGGGGGGCTCCTTCCCTTCCCTGCCAAGTTCAATCATTCATTGCAACAGCCCTCCAGAACTCAGACCACTCACTTACAGCAACGGGGTAATAGGGAAGTCGCATGTTGGAACTTGAGATCAGGACCAACCCGAGACCATGGGAACAACTTGGGGTGAGCCTCAGCTGCGCACAAAGACCAAGTCACTGAATGGATCACAGCTCACAGCAGGGTTTCTAAGACTATAAATCTTTATGGAAGCAGACAGCTTCAGCTTTCTCCCGAGGAATAGCCAGTGGGTTTGAATCACCCATCTGAGATTAGCAGCCCAAAACTAATCCACCAGTCTTCTTCGGAAACGCACTGGCCTCCAGTAATCAGCAGGTGTGGCCTCCCTGGAGGGCAACTGGTTTTTCTGGGAGGCTGCTGTGGCCATTTCTCAGCTATCAGGCTCCCTGTCACTGACCTTCCTGCCACTGACTGACCCAGCTCACGGCCAGCACAGTAACCCACACTGTAAAGCCCCAAGATGCCTGTAATCCTCCTCCTCCTCTGCCTCCTCCTCCTCCTTGGGTAGCCAAGTCGGTGCCAGTGACCTTCAGTCCACTCATCTCTTTAGAGCTGGGTAAACACTCCGCTGCTAACTGACAGGCTGACCGTTTACCCACCCAGGAGTTCTGTGGGAGAAAGACCTGGCAGCCTGCTCCCATAGACTGTAGCCAAGAAAACGATATGGCCACTGTGCCAAAATCCACCTGGCAGAGCCCAGCAGCAAGGGCTAATCATCAGATGTGGTTGCTGTGGACCGGCGTGGGGCTCTGGAGGGCATGCACCAAGGGGGTGGCTTCCCTGCCCACATGGCAGTGCTGGGCCTTCGGGTCCATAGAATGTTCACAGGATGGGCTGGGAGGCTGAGCGTTTCCATGAAAAGTGAAGCGCTGTGACATGTGCCGGTGGCCCCACTTCTCAGTGTCTGTGTACGGCTGTACAAGACTCACTTGGGATACGAAGTGGTCCTCGGCCCGTATCCCTGCTAGGGCTCCCGACGAGTCCATCCTGTCCTGTGACTGTCAGGCTGTGACTGGGGCCGCTGCCTTCTAACGGTGGTCTCGTTGCTCTTGCAGAGGAGGCCGACGGCTGCAGCTTCGGAGCGGGTGCCCTGTCCAGAAAGAGGCGGATGCTGGTGGGCCTGCGCGAGGAGGGTCTACGCCGCCGAGCGCTCCCTGCTATTGGCCTGCCGCGCGACTTCCGGCCCGTGTCCTCCATCATCGACGTGGACATCCTGCCCGAGACGCACCGCAGGGTGAGACTGTACCGGCACGGCTGCGAAAAGCCCCTGGGCTTCTACATCCGGGACGGCACCAGCATGCGGGTGACTGCCCAGGGCCTGGAGAAGGTCCCGGGCATCTTCATTTCCCGGATGGTGCCAGGCGGCCTGGCCGAGAGCACGGGGCTGCTGGCCGTCAACGACGAGGTGCTCGAGGTGAACGGGATCGAGGTGGCGGGGAAGACGCTGGACCAGGCCACGGACATGATGATCGCCAACAGCCACAACCTCATCATCACGGTCAAGCCTGCCAACCAGAGGAACAACGTGGTGCGCGGCAGCCGCACGTCGGGCAGCTCGGGCCAGTCCACGGACAGCACGGCCAGCCCGCAGAGCCTGCCACCCGCGCAGAACTTCCACCCAGACGAGCTGGAGAGCGACGAGGAGGCCGACATCGTCATCGAGGGAGCGCTGACGCCGCCGCCGCCGCCCATCGGCAGCCTCCTGCGCCTCAACAGCCACGGCAGCATCCACAGACGACTGCTCAGCTCCCTGCAGGCCGACCCCCGCCACAGCCTGGCGCTGTCCCCCGGCGGCATCGAGGAGCATGGGCCGGCCGTCACCCTCTAGCAGCGGCTCGTGCCCGCGGCGACGGGCGGGGCGGGGGCGCGCTTCCCCGCGGACGTGGTGCGGACAAGGGGCGGAGCAAGCGTGGTCTCCTGCCCCGCCCCGCACGGTGCCCGGCTCCCTGGAAAACGCCCCGGAAGGGGCTGAGCGGTGCAGAGAACACCTCCCTGGGGTCCCCAGGAGGGAAGCTTTAAAAGCTTCCACCTTTCAAAGTGAACGCTGACAGACCAGTCTGGGCACCAGGGCGCCAGCCTACCCCTGGGGCCAGACGCAGGGCGAGCAGGGCGAGCGAGCCGCGAGTTGGTGACGTGCATGCGTGCTCCTGCGGGGCGTCTGCCGTGTGGCAGAACAGCGCTCACATGGACTTAAGTTCCCGGTCATCTGCGTATTTGGTAACTTTAAGGAGTTACACGTGTCTGCTCCAATGAGGTTTTACATGAACTGGATTTTCTGTTGGAATCCACTGTCAGGGAGGAAAATGTACATTCAAACGTCCACCACTAAACTTGGACCAAATAAAGTTACCGTTCACACGGTGAAGACACTCCCAGAACGCGCTGCCCTGTGTCACGAGCTCACAGGACAGAAAACTCGGGGGTCCACGTATTCATTTTTTTCCTGAATTCATTCAGTGAAGAGCTTTTTTTTTTTTCCTTTTGGGAAACAGCTGTTGGGCGTAAACAGCTGTGACAGTAATTGTGGTGCCTTGCACTTTTGCTCGCTCCTCCAACAAGCAAGGGGGGCGGTGCTGCGCTGATGTTCCCCAAACCCGAGGTGCCCCCGAAAGGTAACAGCGTCTTCACTTGACGACGACGCGATGCGATTTTTACTAAGACAAGTATTATTGAACCAAAACTAATGCTTAGTTACTGCCACAAACGAAAGGCCCTTTTACTAAGTTATTGCTGGTTTTCTTAGCATCTTGTTGAATACCAAGAAGGAAAGTTCTATTTCTTACTGCTTTAAGTTGTTAAGCAAATGTGAATATTTTTTAAAAGGAAAGAAACGAGGCTTACTCTGATACCTGTACATTCCTGTTCATAATTCTGGAAGTTATGAGCGGCTTGGGTGTGTTTCTCTACCCTGATCTGTACTGTGCTGTTATGTTAACAAACTTACTGTGTATGTATTAAAATTTTCCTGGTTTTATATATCAAAGAATAAAAACTTGCTTCTAAGTTAACAAAATGCATTGATGTACTAGTTGGTTTTCAGTCAGTGCCGGAGCGCTGGTGCTGGTGATGTCCAACAGTGGAGCTGATTGCTCCAATCACGTGCCACCCTTTCATCGGCCCCATTTTACACGTGACAAATGGATGAGTGGAAAATAATGAACTTTTAGATGCAAAATTTAGCACTACACTAACTTTGTATATCATGAATTGTAAACTGTAGGAAATGAATGGCTTGAAAAAGATGATTTATCAAAATTAATCTGAAATTATGTATGAAAGTACGACCTCACAATCTTAAATTGTGTCTACATGGTTGCCAAATTGGGGCTCATAATTTAAATACTAGTTAATTTCTATTTTTCATTTGAAAAGCTCTTCTGTTTACAAATAACCACTCCTCATATCACTTCATGAGGGGGATAAAGTGACTTGGGGAACGTTTCCAGTGGAAGACTCCTGCTTGTCTGCAGTACAGATGTTGTGACAGTAGCGCAGCCACACTCACTACTATCGAGTCGATTCTGACTCAGTGACCCAGGAGGACAGGGCAGGACTGCCACGGAGGGTTTCTGAAGTTGTAATTCTTTATGGGAACTGGAAGCCTCATCTTTCACCCCAGCTTGGTTTCAACTGCTGGTCTTGTGGTTAGCAGTTCAATGTGTAACCCGCTATGGCATCATTTGTATTTACTATTTGTTATTTATCCAGCATGACGACACAGCCCCTTTCATATACACGGACTTTGATTTCAATCCCTTTTTATATGGTGGTGCTTCCAGACTGTCGACCCCAAGTAAGCACAAATGTGCCATTTCCATGGGCTCTAAGGCTGATAGTTCGGTAAAGTCTCCTTTGATCCATGTAGTTTTAAAAATCCGATAAACTGACGTTTTTGCTAGGTAATGTGAAAAATCCAATAATGTAATCCAGACTCCAGCTTCTACTGGCTTCACTCCTGCACCAAGAATCCCAAGAGTACAGGCAACCATACTTACTACCTACAAGTACTGGCACTGCCCCCAGTAATGAGTATGTTTCTACGGGATATTCCCTGAAAAGCAAAATGCCTTCCCTATATAACATCTGTACTGCCCAAATCATTTTTTAACTTGTAGCTCAAGATTAAAGACAAAGTAGTCATTGCTAAAAGTTGGACAGGAACTCTGAAGGGTGGTCAACTTGTCAGTTTTCCTTGGGACCACAGTCCCGAGCAAACAGGGATGGCTGGTCCTAATTGATGGCTGTTTGTTCCCCTGTTAATGGAATGGTGTCCACAGGCAGCATCATTAACAGCCAAGGGCACGGAACCAGGCCACTTCTGTTCTTACTGTACTTTCTCCCTACTCTACCTTGAGTAAGTCCTAGTTTTCCTTGTGTAAATGGAACACGACCACTAGCTTTGTCGAACTGTGGTGAGGAGTAAATGTTGAAATGCATAATACACTTAAAGGGAACCGAACTGTAAACAGGAAGTGTGTCCTGGATAAGCAGTCCATACATGTTGATTTCTTAGTTGGAAGACCTGCTTAAAACAGTCTTTGTCCTTTGGTGAAAGTAGATTGGAGTCTGGGGACTGATGCATTCCTTCCCCCGCCCCCAGCGACTCCAGGTAACGGTCACCAGCTGTTGCTCTACTGAGCACACTCCAGGGCTGACAGACCCAGGCTGCCCTCGAGTCCGTCTTTAAGTCGAACTTGTAGAGTTGGGAAAGTTCAGTACGTTCCTAGCAGACGTTTGCCTTAGTAGAGGGTATGCAAACAAATATGGCTACTCAGGTTCATTTCATACACGCACAGTTTTATTCCAAACGTGTCTCTGCAATCAGTGGACAGCTGCAGACAAGTTCCCCCTGCAACTAACTCGTATTGGTCTCCTTAGGGTACCTTCAAAAAAGTACGGTCAAAATAGCAACTCCCAAGGAGAGCTGCTCACGGCTCTCAAGCCGATGCTGACTCAGAGTGACCCTATAGGCCAGGGAGAACCGTCCCAGTGATTTCCAAGACTGTGACTGTTTATGGGAGTAGAAAACCCGCCTTCCTCCCGAGGAGTGACTGGTGTTTTCAAACTGCTAACCTCACTTTCAGCAGCCCAGCGCAAGCCCACTAGGTCACCAGGTCTCCTGTAGGAGCTCTGCTGGGCCAGGTCCATTCCTGGCAAAGGCATCAGCTTAGATTACGGGGCCCTTTTTGGTTTTTTATTCCAAAGAGGTAATCTTGATAGAGTTTTCTAAAAGGACACAGGGATGATTATGGGGGCTTGCGAAGATGAATTTCAGAAAACGAGGGCATTGGGGAGAAAAGGGCCAAGAAAATCTTGGTCAAGTACGCGTTCCCTCGTGACAACGCACCTGCTCATTCTGCGGGCACACAGGCTGTCTTGCAAGACTGTTGGTGGAGAAATTCATCCTGTCCACCCTCTAGCTCTAATCTTGCCCCGTCACAATTGGTGTCCCTCAAAAGATGCACAAATTGTCGTTCTTATATAATCAGAGTGTTTCCTTTCGGGAAGGGTTGGAGGGGGAGGCGCTGCCTTCAGAAGTGTACAGTCCTGGATGAAGATGTTGAGGAAACAAGAGCCTCATGTTTTGTCATTTTGGGGTAATTCGGGTTCCACTGATTCTTTCTGCAGCAGGGCCTTTGATTTACCCTCATACACAGTACGGACATACACCACTTAACATCGGTGTGTCCGACGTTCGACCACATACAACCCTGGACCAACACGCCCGAGTACCAGGACAGCAGATCCTCGCCGTGGGCTCAGAGCCCTGCTTCTGCCCAGCTGCCTCACGTGCCCTCGAAGCTACAGAGCCTCCAGTGACTCGGCCCCGAGGGTCCCAGGGCATCCCACGTGGCCTTATAAGGAACCAATGGCAAGTATGTGTCCCAGGAGCCCCAGCCTTGGCTTCACGACCCTCAGCCCATCCTGGGATGGTCCTCAGAGGCAAGCTGCCCTCCCCTGCTGAAAGGGGCAGCTGCTAGGCAGAGCCGCCTGAGGCATCCACAGTGGGAGCTGCCTGGGCCATGCTCTGCCCAGTTCTGGCCCAGTGCACGTACGAATCCTGTAGACACACACGTGTCCAACAACCTCTAATACACATCATGACCCAGATCATAGAATGTATCATGAGGTGATGCTTACCTACATATAATGTACCTTTCTGCACATAAAAAGCATGTAACGCTTTCAGGTGCACTAAAACCTCTTTAGTGCAGTACTGTTTAGATACCTGTCACAATGCAGCACCTGGTTACTAGGGACCCCTGAATGTTGCTGGCAGTGTGGGCAGGAAGACTCACAGCCCGGTGGCTTGTGTCAGTCCTGATCTTGGTTTTGGTCCAGCAGCCACAGCCACCAGAATCTCGTCCCAGGCACGCCACACTCTCCCCTCCCCGCTGTCCCCATAGGCCCATGATGTAGGCCAGGGGCTATGGCCAGGGCTGGGCTGTGGCTGGGTCCTGCAGGGTTATGCCCGGGCCTGACACACTGCTCCCGACTGGATGATGTGGAACAGCTCTTGGTGGCTCCAGGGCAACAGTGGCGGCGTCCTCACCACACCCACCCCAACACCCCCACTCCTTCACCTGGGGGGTCCAGGGCTGGGTGAGCACAGCGGGCACCTGCCAGCTGCTAAAGGGTGAGGTAGACCCAGCTCCTCCCCATGCCTGGTCTCTGGGGCTGCTGGTTCATAACTCAGTTTGGACAGGTCAGCCCTTAAAACCCCGGGTCTATCTAGCTGAGAAGCCACAAAGCCCACATGAAAGCAGCACACCAGCCTGTGTGATCATGAGGTGCCGATGGGATCAGGTACCAGGCATCTAAGACCCAGAACAAAATCATA